GAACTGTTCCTGAATAAACAGAGGTACAAAGCTGTTTGCTGACCCTTCATTGGAAGGCCTGGTCACCTGCAGGCTGTCCCCTGATTCCTGGCTGCAAACCTATCAGCTGGGATGGGGATATATGGGCTCTGAACCAGCTGCCTCAGTGGGCCAGCCACCAGCCCTGTGACACAACAACGCTGGTATTGCTTTGCAAAGCACAGTGCAGACTCTATCCCGTCTGCTACGGTCATCTACGTTTCAGAACATTCTCGTTCTGATCTGTAAATACCTAAATTGGGCTTTCTTTCTCCCAATTAAAGGAAGCTTTGTATATGTTGTAGATGGTGCTGTGAGGGTGCAGATACTAATAAAAGAGATCAAACCCATCACTTAGGAGACAGCTATGAGTTGCATATGAGGCTCAGCTCACCTCCCTTAAAGGACCAGACTAACCACAGCAGTTATTCCCCCTGTAATATTTCTGTAAGAAACTATGATACAACCTCATTGTAACAAACTGCATCTTTTAGCATTCCCAATGGTAGGAAGTGATTGTCTCATGATAATGATGCAGCAGTTTGCAGAGGCAGAACGTGGTAGTTCTGCTCCCTCATAGGTCACAGTGCTCAGGATAGTAGTGGCTGCCATGCTGCCAGCAGTGACTTGGAAGCCAGTCAGTAGATGCAGCAGCTGCTATTTGGCACCTTGCTCCTTCTTTAAGTAGGTACCTAGGGCTGCTGCCCTAGTTGCCCTCCCTCTTAGTTATGCTACTGACAAATTGACTAACCCTGTTAGAATGAACACACTCTTTTAATGAACTTTACTCCTGGTCCCATGGGTTTGTTAAGATTAAGTTGTACTGTAATTGGCACTGTCAACAGCTCTGTTTGTCTTTAAATAGATAATAAGTAGCTAAAAGGCTAGAAGCAGCTGGAGATTCCCCTTTGTGCGTGCTCAGGGAGCATCTGCTAATGTTTTAGCACAGCTGGGCGAAGCCCTGTTTGAGTCAGGTCATAACTGCACATACTTTCTGAGAACAGGCTTGCCCGGGAGTGGGGTTGCTTATTGTCAGGTTACCACTGGGACATCATGCACAAGGGCTATTGCAACCATCTCATTAAAACACATTAAACAAATTTGCTTTGCTGTCAAAAGATTGGATGGCCCACTTCGGGTTGACTTAGGGCTACATGCTTTCCTTGAAGTCCATTGGGAATGTTGCCTTTGATTTCAGTGGGAAAAGGGTAATTCTAAACTTCTTTTTCTGAAACTGATGCAAACAGGAGTTTTACCATTATTCATGTAAACTAGACAATGGACATGGGTATGTTATTTGTGTAAAAAAACCCCTGCAAATTCAAAGACAGCCCTGTGCACTGACTGAATTTAACAGTAATGTGGAATCCAGTCTCTTGGATATTTTAGGTTCCCATCCTGTGCACCAAAGAAGGCTTATGGACAGAGGAATTCAAACTGTGTGAGAATCTGCAAGGGAATTGTCCGCCACCCCCAGAGCTGAATTTTGTGGAGTACAAGTGTGAACAAGGGTATGGAATTGGTAAGGACAAAAAAAGCACATTGATTTCTGATTAAATCCCCTTTTTCTTGGAACAGGCTGCTTATTGAATCAACCAGGTCTACTGCTATCCCTAAGGACTAGCTGGAAGGTCATGATGACTCTCCTGCAGTAATGATAAAATTTATGACCAAATTCTGTTTTCTTTCTAGTCTTCTTCCTGAACATAAAGCCAATGGGGCTGCTTATTCATTTGCATAACATCTGGTCATGTTAGTAGCAGAGTTTTAAAGCTAATGGCTTAATTGTAAGGATCTGTCTTTCCCCCCAAGAAAGGGGAATATCTCAATGAATATGGCAAACGTAGTTCTTTGTCATAGCTTACAAGTCTTTGCCATTGTTTCTCTTACAGATGGTTGTGACGGTGATGATGGTAATGCCTAGAGGGGACTGCATGAGTTATAGCCCCATGTAACTGGGTGGTTTTGCTCTGCCAGGGTCCATGCAAACTGTTTCTTTGGTGTAGGCCTGCTTGGATTTATCTCTTTCCTGTTTTAGAGGAACACTATGACACTCAGTCAGAGTTGCCACATTTTCCTTAGCTTTGTGGCTTAATTGAATGTTAAAGCAAAACCCACATAATTTCAAAGCAAACACATAAATCACCCAACTTTGATTAAAACTGGGCCCAGGCTTGTACAAAAGCATGGTAAGTTTTGCTAGACTTTTGATGAAGTGAGCATGAATTTGAGATTTTGATGAAACCCATGTATTTTCCCATGGTTTGGGGGTTCAGCTGGAACATTTTGTTCAGTTGGCTATATTTCTTGCTATATTCATTTTAAGAAATAGAAAGAGCAGCACTTGAAGCACACTGAGTTATTATCCTAGTAGAGGAAAATATTAGAGGTAGCACCGTTATCAGATAGGGCATTGCACTGCTGTTCAGAAGACTTGGCTTTTATTCCCAGGTCTGCCACTGACTTCCTGAGTGACCTCAGGCACGTTCCTTTTTCTTTCTGTGTCTCTGTTTCCACTTTCCTCCCACCCCCAGCCTTTCTCTGTCCTGCCAGTTTAGATTATAGGCACTTGTTATGTACAGTTCCCAGTACAATGGAGCTGTGAGCTCATCAGGGCTTTACATGTTACTGTAATAATCATACTTTTGTTGTGATGAGCTGCTACAGTCACTCTCTAAACCACTCCCAATCCATCCTGGCAAAATAAACTCAGATGTACTAGTATCTTTCTACAAAATGATTACCAACCTCAGAAATACTGTACAAATGGGACAAGCCCTCACAGAGTTCCTTTGATATGAAATGGAGAGTCACCACTGGCCTTGGTTGTATAATAGCGACTTGTATGTGTTACTGAGGGAGACTGAGGCATGTATTAATGAGTAGGTGCATTAGGTAAACGGGCATTCGCCGCGGCATTCCCCAAACCAGCACCAGTTGCCTCATGAATCCCAAAGCAATGCAGTAGGCAATGTCAGTAGGTACACTGCGTGAATGGTTCATTGCCTGAAAATCGTGGCTTATTTTCGGTCTGGACCTTTTACCTGTTCAAATCTCTCCTCGCCAGAGATATCTATGAAGCAGAGATCATAGCTTTTCTGTATTATTCTAAATACTTTACTTTAGCCTTTAGCTTGTAGGAGCCTGAACTCATTATGCTGACACACAAAAGTCAGTCAATGTGTATAGTCTGCCTGCATTTTGAAACCCTGATTTAATGCCTAATTAATTCTGAAGAATGAAGTACTGTGCTGTTCTCTTAGGAGGCTGGAAGACAAAAACTGTAGGCACATCTCTTGTTCGAGGGTTTTCAAGCAAAGATTTGCATTGCCAGGTGCTGATTGGCTGGGAAATTTTTGAGACAGCTCAAAAGTTAGAAGCTATGCACTCAGTTCCATATGTTGTATTCTCTTGGCATCAGATCTGGTTCCCTCGAAGTCCACAGAAGTTAGGATGGTGGCTTGGCTTGATTGGAAAGACAACGCAGGAAGCATAGTGTAATTGCTTTGGGTGCTGACTTGGAGGAAGGCCCAAAACAGTAACCACCCTGCTGCAGCCTTTTGTGCTGCTGTTCCCCAGGGCTCAGGGTTCTGCTTAATACACAGGAGAGCCGTGTATTGATGGCTGTCTCTCATGCCCAGCTAGGCTGCCTTTGAGGAGAAGGTAGAGTTATCTGTGTACAGCAGTCACTTTGATGCTTTCCAGTTGCTTCCTTTTCTTGTAGACTTTGTTTCCTCTGACTTTCCAGTTCACAGAGGGGGGCAGCATAGGAATTGGCTGTGTCACTTATTTTGGAAGGGGCTTCTAGCCCAGACCTCACAACTGGCAAAAAGAGGGTCTTCCCTAGGCTTGCATCCATCACAGTTCAGCACCTAGCTCTTAGTACCAGACTGAGGGTGTTCAACATAGCAGCTGGGGCTGCACCGATAAGGGCTGTGGCCTGCCCCCCTCCCCTCCTCAGCTGTGAGCTCCCCCAGTCCTGCACTGGTGGGGGCTCTCCTCTCACTGATGCACTATATGTCCAGGTGGATGAGCTGCTACACTGCACCATGCTCGACGGTGTTCTGCCCCCTCACCTCCTTGGCTGCAGGCTGCCCCACTCCACTGCACCACGGACTCCCCTGACAAGGTGGGCTGCACTGAGCATGCTGCCCTGCATTGCCTTACCCTCTGGGCAGGGGCAGGAAGCAAAAGCCAGAAAAAGGAGGGGGAACCTGCAGGCCCCAGCTCTAGCAGCAGCCAGAGTGATGAGGGGAGCAGCAGCTAGGAGGAGCGCGGTGGACACGGATTAACCCCTCACCGGCTGCACATGGACTGCTAGTTAGACAGACCTGCATTAGACCATGGGTTCCCTGCGAAAGAAACTGCTGTGGAGAGACTGGGCATCAGTGCAATACTCTGAGTGTGCCCACAAACCTTTTGTCTCCTCTGCAACAGGTGCTGTGTGTACACCATCCTGTATAATCCCCCCCAGCGACCCAGTAATCCTGCCTGAAAATGTTACTGCTGACACTATGGACTACCGACTGGAACCTCCCAAAATCCAGGTAAAGAGAAGGGGGCGTTCTTCTGCCACTTGAAGGGCATTGTTTTGAGTCCATTGAGCTTGGCTGCCTGAGCTGCTTTTCAGCACGTGCTGGAGATTAAGGGAACAGCTATATTGCTTCTTCCAGCCCAGGCCCCATATGGTGCTAGAGTAAGGAGATGGACGATCCAGAATGAGAGAGACTGGAGGAGAGTGTTTGCTAGAGAGTCTTCAAGGATCTGCTAAAAGGGCTGTCCTCTCTGGAGACATGCTACTTATTCTCATGCTGGCAGCCCATGAGCATCAAGTGAACAGGCACCTCTGGCCAAAGAGCAGAGTTTCCAGCAGGCTTGGCTTTTAGTGGGAGTTGCCAGGGCCTCGGCCTTTTGGAAAATCAGACTCACTTATTTCAGTGCCTAGTAACTACAGAGTTAGGGGCTTTCCCCGAAGCACCTGTTTTTGAAGATTCTGCCTAGAGCGTGTTATCATTGGAACTGGAAGCACCACCTATAGTTAAGACCCAGCATGAGACTAAATAGAAGGTGAGAAGGAGGCTGAGATGAGAAGCTGATGGGGCTGACACAGGAATAGGTTCTGGGTAGAAGGAGGACACTGATAGAAAGGGGATAGACCTGAGGGGATAGTGGCAAAAGGGCCTGTGGCCATTAGAGCACCCTACCCTTCAGAGCCTGCAGTAACACCCAAGTCTCAGCAGTCCTCTTCTCTCAGGAAATGCCTGTGAATTTCACTCCCCACCATGCCCTCAGTGAGCTTCACACGGGGAAGGACAACCTGATACTGCTGTTAGTCTGGTCTGTCTCCTGGTTCCTCAACCTGATGTGCAAACTGAAACGACACGATTCATCTTCTGGCATCATATACACAACACCGTGGGTCAGCAGCACAGTTGGAACTTGTAGGACTCCCTCACAGACCTCTGCTCCTTGAGCTAGAGTGATTAGCACCACAGAAGAGTCATGAGGAATCCCATCTCCAGAGCAGAGGTTTGAACACTGCACAGTAAATAAGACCATGTAGAGGAAAAGATGAAATAAGTGAGTGCTGTCCATGTGTTACAACTGAATGAAGCAGGGGTCCTGCAGAAAAACACAGTGGGCAATCATGCCATTAAAGCCTCGATGCTAATGGGTATGCACAAAGGAGCCCAAAAAGGCTGCCTGGGCAGCCTGGATTCTGGCATTTCTTGACTTTGGGGTGGTTGTTTCTACAACTTTAATAGTATTCTTTTAATATCTATTTAACTATGACTAATATAATGTACAGCACAAATATAAACAGGAGGCCACACAGCTTGGTGACTGCTTTAGCATCCTTGAGGTGCTAGAAAAATCCAGGATGGATTTTCAATAGCATATCAGGGATTTAAGAGCATGAGTTCTACTGATTTTCAATAGGTCTTTTAATCCTAAAGGCCCTGGGTGCTTTTGAAAAATCCCTTCCATCAGCCATTATTGTGAGTGTTCACATAAAAGGGGACAAATATGTTACCATCCATGTCCTGCCCCAACTCAGTAGTACTGCAGATGAAACTTCAACCAGGAGTTTTAGGCAAAGACATGGCAGAGCACGCTCACCTGTTTGACAGCTCCAGCTTCTGGGATCCCGAGCACTTTATTTTCAGCTCATGGCCATGAAGTATAGAGCCTCCTCCTCCCCAGCCCTAGCTCACTTTCCAGCTGAACCG